AATGGGCTGCAGGTGGCGTAGAGCAGAACTCTTTTCCTATGGCAACACTTCACATGCTTTCCCCATTAGCGTGTGGAAAGTCATAGAGGAAGGAAGTACGTTAGTTTCTCTCTTGATTTTCATATAGATTAAAATCTTTTAACTTGAAAAACTATATGGAACTGAAAACTACATTAAACATAGTTCAAAAGAAAAGTATCATGGAAATTTTAAAAAATATTTTTATGAAATAAAAAGGAAAAATATTAAAAAGGGGGAAAATATCGTAGTACATTCCTATACAACTGAAAAGAGGAGGAGAGGGAGGGGAGAAGGGCTAAAGGCATGAAACCGGTCTCTCCCCAGATGGCGTATTCGAGTGTTGCGATCGCGAATATTCACTTCTTCTGTTTGTAAACTTTGATTTCTCATACTAAATTATAAAAAGTTTCTATTTTGTCTGAAGGAAAAGTTTCAAATATATAATCTTAAACTCTTCTAATTTCTTTTGACACAGTTCCTAAATTTTGTCGACAAATTGAGAAGAACACGAAAATAAAAAAATTACGTAACTGGACTGGAATGCTAAGATTAAAAGTCATAATTTTCAATCAAATCAGTTTGCAGAAACTGTGAAAAGATTGAATCCAATAACCTGATTCACGAAACAAAAGCTTCCCCGATAACCAAACACGTCACATATACTATTAACGCTTTAATGACATATGTCATTAAAGCGTTAATAGTTACTTGTTGAAAATTCGCTGTTTGTGGATGATTTTCTAAAAAAAAAACACATTACAGAGGAGTTGAAACTCGAACTAGGAAGAAACGTGTTAATTTAGGAGGCTATAAATGCTAAAAGCGGTTATCAGGAAAACGTGCCTTGTGTATGGGCGAAGTGTGAGAGAAATTTTGGAAGGGACAGTAGCCTTTTTAAGGGTAAATAAATGTAGAATGAAACTATGTGCAGTCGTCAGCCACTGTTATGCATATTTTTTTCAAATCTGATCTTCTAAATTTTCAAAAATTGTTTGATATGGAAACAAAATAGCTTAGAGTACATTCTAATGGCCAAAAACATGTAAAAAAAAGTAAATAAAAAAAATAAAAACATAAAACATACGTTTCATTAACATTAAGTAGTATATTTTGTATGAAATGGAAATCTCGCAACATTTACACAGACATTTATGTTTATAACGAATTAGAATATATGCTTCGAGCTTAAGGCATTCCAAAGTTGTTTGCTGCCATGAAACGAAACTTTTATTATATTGAAAAGGTGTGAGAAACTTTAAGTTATGAAGGTATTTGTTGAAAATTGCATAGGAATTAAATGAAATAAAAAAAAAAATAATTTGTCCGAGATTTATGCACTGCTAAACTTGTAACAAAAAATACCATGCACGTCGCTCTGCAGGCAGCGGAAATGCAATTATAGGGCTACAGAGTTCAAACTTGTTATTCTAAAGAAATCAGTTTTGGTTATGAACTTAAAACAAATTTATTTTTTATCATTTCAATTCTTTTTAAATTCTTTTATGGTAGTTTTTTCTTTGCTTTATGTTACACTTAGTTTTGTGCACAAAAACTGTAAGACTTAGAAAACTGAAATTGTGAAGGGGAGTAAAAAATGTTGAGGAGTAGGATGCAATAAAAAAAGAGTTTGATTGATAAAAGAGTTATCACTTGATTGATAATTTTTTTTAACGAAAAAAGGAAAAGAAATGAAGAAGTCTGAAGACATTTTTAATTGTGATAAATACTTTATTTAATATAGACATTTCAAAGTACATCAATTTAATACGCGTATAAAAAGTGTTGTATATATCATATTTATATCCAAGTTAGTTACACATTTTACATCAAAATATCATATCACAAAACTGCAAATAAATATATATCGACAGTACATTACAAATAATACAAAAAATCCTTGTAAATAAAAATTTAAGAAGTGACTAAAAACGTGAGATTTTTCTTCTTAGCTATGATTTGAAATTAGTAATAAAGTGTGTCAACAGGTCATAAAAAATGCTTTTAAAATGATCTGACACGCACCAGAAAACATTATTTTATAGTTCTTAAAAATAGCAGAGCTGTCTGTAGGAAACTTTTGTTACTATTTGTAAAATTTGAAGAAAAAATTATTTTGTTTTCTTAACCCAAAATTTGCATTTTTATTTTTCTCTTTTTTTCTTTGATTTTTTTTAATCTGTCAGAAACGACATGAAAATTGAACCATATAAATGAAAATGCAGCATAAATGCAAGAGATTACAACCAAGAGATTACAAATCAGATTACAGTTACATATGCGATTACAGGCTGATACAGTAACATATGAGATTGCAGGCTGATACAGTAACATATGAGATTGCAGTTATTGCTAATTGAGATTGTAGTTAGAGCTAAATATTTAACTAAAGCCTATCTGAGGCTTTAGTTAACCCAGGCGTTTATGAAATCGAAGCCTTGTAAAGAAAAATTGAAACAGATGAATATCATTTTAAATAAAAATATTTGTGAAAGTATCTGGGTACCATTAGTTCTTGCATGCTCAATTACTATTTTTATTTATTAACTAACTTATTTAAATCTTATGAGACATTTTCAATTTGTATACTTATTTCTAGAATAAAAAAACAGTATCTAGGCATTACTACTGATTTTTATAGATGAGTTTAATAAATCAATGGATAAGAAAATTATCTTATACTTGTTAAAAATTATAGATTTTAAAACTTAAAAGTAAAATCTAATTTAATTTCTTACTCATTTCAGAAATTCAGGAACAGAAATCTCTAAATTTAATAACATGTTTAAAATCCATAAATTCAAGACAACTGGCGTTGAATTGTGTAAAGATAACTATATTACTAGTAAGGGTAAAATTAATAATGATAACTTAATGAGGTTAAATAAATATTGATACATTTTTTAAAGCATATTAACTGAATGTCTTATGAGATTTGATTTGTTAGATTAATGATTTCATTTTTATCTTAATCAGTTTTCTATCAAGTTATTAAATGGTGGTAAAATATAAGGCTTGTGGCTTAATCATATGCACGCAAAAGGTACTGAAGTTAGTTTCACCGGTTATAAGGTACTACTAATACAGCTATTTATATTGATAAATTTTTTAAAGTAATAATATTTCAAAATCATATAAACAGAATATCTTAAGAGATTTAATACACGGAGATTTCGATTTTTACATGCATAATATATTTTTCGCATAATAATACACTTGCATAAAGTACTGAGAGTAGCTTTAACTTGTTTATAAGGTATTTAAAGGACAGATATTACTAATAATTTTAATGCGTGTTAATTGAATATGATATGCGATATGAAATATGAGATTCTTGATTAAAATATGAGTTTCACAGCAAGTTTTTTTTTAAAATTATAAAATGTATAAAAAGTATTTTTTTAAATTTTTTCCTTAAAAATTTAATTTCTCATAAAATTACTCCATTTTTACAAAATCTATTTTTTTAGAGAGCCATATCATTTTCTCGAAAAAGTCAGCTTCTTTCATAAAACCATATAAAATATTTTTAAATAGTACAAAACATTTTCAAACTGTTATTCTTTCATGTTACCGTACAAAATATTTTCATAAAACCGTACAAAATATTGATAAATCTTTTCGTACAAAATATTTTTTAATGAAGACATTTTCAGAAATGCATATATATTTTTATAAAAATTATCTTAATACTTCATTATCTTAAAACTTAATATTTAGCTTTAAGAAGAGACAATATATAAATCAATACGACTTATTTTTCTGTATTAAGTCAATAATAAGTTAATAGAAAAATATAAAAACACTTAAAATTTTTTGAAAGAAGTTATTCTTTCAAAATTTGATAATTTTAAATGCTTACATCATTTCATTTCTTTTGAGATTCGCCATACTTGTTTTTCAGAAATCTCATAAACTTTTGTTCAAATTTCATGAAGCATCGAAAGAAGTTCAATAAGTATGAAAGTTTCTTGGAAAGAGCTTCTACCGTACTCAGACTAAAGAAAACACGCTAAGGTGTTTCTTTTAATAGTTTCAGTTCTCATGGAACAGTTATAAAATATTTTCAGTATTTACAATTGTTATGGAAATGTCATAAAGAGTTTCTATTGCTTGCAGTTCTCATGAAAACATCCAAAAATATTTTTCAACACATAAAAAAATGTCATAAGGCACTATTTCATTACCTGAAATTCAGAAAAACAAAGAAAAATAATTCCATCAATGTTATTTAATGTGTAAACTTAAGAGATTCATAAAATGTTTGGTGAGTTTTAAGTTACCTTACTGCTTAAAGTTGGTGCAAAAATGTGTTCATGTCATTCTCTTACATTTTCGTACTGGTTTATATATGGACTATATTTTCCTCTACCTCGTCCTCTTCCACGTCCTCTACCACGTCCTGGTTTTATATTTGCCTCAAAATTGTTCGGCAGGCCATGTCGAAGCGAGTTTATGATTACTTCTTGTCGTTCATCTTTGTCTCTGCAAGAGAATTAATCATTTGGATATCTTTTAAAAGTAGAAAAAGCTACATAAAATATTCCACTAAAACGGATATCGAATTAGTTCATTCAGCTCTTAATATTGATTTTATAATGTAAGTCTAATTAATATAAATTTGTCTATTGCAAAATGAAACGAAAGCATGCAAATTTCTGCCTGACCAAAAGAGGGCGTTGTAATCACTCACAATAATTCTGTAATCACTCGTGTGGTAGGCAATAGATTGGAATGGATGGCTTATTGGAAAGCCCTATTTCGTACAATCATGTTGTTGTTTTATTGTTTACTATTATTCAATTTCCTTGTTATCAAAACGGCCTCTTTATTCAATGCACCCATTCTCCACTGATTCAATCTGAAACAAATGTAGGGGAATAAGAGCTCGAGAATGTTTGAGTTTTCAATATTTTATAGTGTTGTTACTTGAGCTGGGCAACATTGGAGTTTTAATATCGAGTTCTATCATCATAAAAAAATGGATGTTGTATTTAGCGATATTATATCAATTTTACTGATACACATAATGTTTTTGCTAAAGATGTTATATGTTTTTCTTATTTTACGAAATTATCTTAAGATATATTCAGCCCCATCGACCCATTCCTTAAGAATCTCGAATACTCATCGCCATGACAATAATCCGTCATCACTTGAGTACCAAGCAATGTCGAACATCAGACATAAAGCCCCATGAGTTGGGCACCACACTTGAGTTGATAGTTAAAGGCAGCCTATAAGCGAGCAAAAACTCAGAGTCTATATTCTACAGGACAAAACTCGTCCTTAAATGACCTGGTCAAAATTAGGAGCATGCAGCAGAGCCAGTAGACTTAAATTTGCCTTAAGCAATTTTATTTATAATTAAATAACTAACTGGGATACAACACGTTCATGATAACATCACTGCCGATAATTACAGAGATATTATGTAATTGAATATTTATTGTTTTCTATAATGATTATATATAACAGCCTCTATATTCATCGAAGAACTATATCGATCTACCTTATATATGTATATATCAAAGTGAAACTCCTCAAGATACAACGCCCACCTCGCAATTTTAGGGATAATTTCTTTTTTACTCATTGTGCTTTGCAAAGCAGCGCAATCGGTTATAATTTTAAACTTTACACCTAACAAATAATTTCGAAATTTTTTAAGCGCTTCAACTATGGCAAGTGTTTCTAACTCATAGCTACTATATTTCTCTTGTTGTTGGGACGTTTTTTTACTAAAATAATGGATAGGATAAAATTTACCATTGTCTGCTTTTTGAAGAAGAACTGCTCCGAAACCAAAACTACTGGCATCTGTGTGGAGCTCTAATTCAGAATTTTGTCTATATAAATGAAGGACTGGGTCATTCGTTAAGGCTATCTTGAGCTTTTGAAAAGATTCTTTTTGTTCATTATCGAATTTAAAATCAGTATTATTTCTGAGCAAATCACTGAGAGGTTTAGCTATTTTGCTATAATTTGGGATAAATTTACGGAAATATCCTGTTAATCCAAGGAAACTCATTAATTGTTTATGTGTTTTAGGTTCCGGGAAATTTTTAACTGCTAAAGTTTTAGAGGGTGAAGGGCGAATCGTGCCATTTTCAATTATGTAACCGAGACATTCTATGGAACGTTTTAAAAATTGACATTTCTTGAAATTTAATTCCAATCCGTTATCAGCAGCTGTTTTTAAAACGCGTTTTAATTTTTGAAAACCTTCCTCATCATTTTTTGCTGGAATGAAAATGTCATCTAAATAAATAACTAAAGTTTTATCTTTAATTAATTCTCTAAAAACATGTAAAATATATCTCTGAAAAACACTGGGACTNTGTAACATTGTAACATGCGAGAATACAGCCTCTTTGTCAATACGCCAGATGTCGCTCTCTTTAACAAAAAGCAACGAACTTTCTCGATGTAAATCAAGAGTGAGTCAGTTGATGTGTAGTTTCTAAGTGAAACTGGTTGTTTTTAGGTAAAACCTGAAACCTGTGTGGTTCGAACCTAAGTGGTTAGAGTCTATGTGACTCATGTTATTATTGAGGAATAAATATTATTGTTATTGTTATTGATCATATGGTTGATTGAATTAGTTGATGATAACCATCATCGCATTATGGTGTAGTTTGAAGTAACTCGGCATATATACCTGACATATATATATATATATATATATATGGTAGTATCTCTTGTATCTACTATATATAGTGACAAGTTTTCAAATATCGTGCAAACGTTATTTTTAAAAAAAAAATTAAGATTTAAAAAATGATTCAATCTTTTCCATACTTTTTTGAAACAGGGGTAAATAAACTCAAACGGAGAAGGATGTTCTCTCTTAGTTAGGGATAAAAGAAACCATTTTCTCTCCTTTTTTGAAACTGGGGAGAACGAACTCAAAATTAGAAGAGCATTCCCTCTTTCCAAGGACAGTTAGGGATAAAAACAATTCTTCGACTCCTTCGCTAAGAAGAAATTTTCAGAGAATACTTAATAGAAAAATTAATAGATTTTTTTTTGTAGAAAAGGGGGAAAAAAGTCTGGTTATTGATCGATCAGGTTAATTGAAAGTATCAGTTATTTTTTTTTTTTTTTAATATTTTATTTTATAACCGGATTTTGACCCAATTCCGAGTAAATCATGGTCTTGTTAGTTTCCTTTTTTTTAAATTTTATTTCTGAACAACCAACCCAATTCTTAGTTTGCGACCATTGTTTAACTACGAAGCCTTGTAATTTTGAACCTTGCCCAGAAAACAAGAGAATTCCTGAATCAATCCTTGGGACAAAATAGCATTTGTGACGAATTTTTCGATGGAACTAACCCGCATTTCCGTTTCAAGGAGTGGAAAAGCATGCAAATTTCCCTCGGTTAGAATGATGGAAAGGGAATTCTAACCCACGATCCATCTATTACTTCAAAATTGTGATATTTTGAGTCACAATTGTGGTGGCGGGGGGAGCCTGGAGTAAAATTCGTATCAAACAGATACCACTGGCATTCGAATCTGGATACCTCATTGAGAGGGCGAATGATATATCTCTCGAACAAATCAAACAACGCTCTACTGTAATCAAATCAGACTATTTTTAAATGGTTTTCAGTTCCAAACGGCATGATCTGAGCACCTTTTAATTGTAAAATAGTAATTTAACATACCTTTTCCTATCTCTTTGTCTTCGATTTTTGAACCATGTGTTAACTTGTTTTTCAGTATAGCCCACTTCACCTGCTAATGTTTGCCGTTTTTGAAGTGATGGATATTTATCATCTTCAAAAATAATAGCTAGAATTTCTTGGGGTTTGCTGGAAATGCCTGCTGGATACGGATATTGAGTACGTAATCGATATTCTTCACCAGACCTAACTACGACTTTATTGATATCATCACAGTGTTGGGAGGGGTATTCTAAAAGGTGATGTCCTTTTATCCAATACGACTGAAGTTCTTTGTGGTAGCATGGAAGAAATTGATTCTCTTGCAAAATGTTTAGCATATCTTGATATCTTTTCTCGACGTAAGCAGATTTTATGCCTCTTATTATTCTTTGGGTTTCATTTTCACTAACTGAAGCATTTACGTTCCTATCGACAAGTGCGTTATTTCCATCACAGCTGTTCAATCTATTCAATCTTCTACTCTGCCTTTGTTCTACACGAGGCGTTTCAATATTTTGGTAGATGTTCCTTATCGTCTGCTCATCAGTAGTGCTGATGAACTGTTGACTAGTTGACGGCGTAGTTAAATTTAAGTTTGATGGAATGATTTGTAAAGGAGGATTCGAAAAAGACGATGTTGGTAATGAGGCAGGAGATGAAATGTTATTCCCAGTCTGTTCTCGGTTCGACAAATCTATGGCTTTACTTGAATTCATTGTTTTGATAACATGGTTGTTCCCACTTGCATTCCTTACAAACATTGGGGTGTTAGTGTGTTGGCAGTAAATACCCATATATGGTTGATGATTTAGATTTTCAGTGTGCGCTGAAGGATTTCTTTCCGTTAAGGATTGTCTTTCGTATTTATAAATGTTTTGCTCGCTTGAGGGTAATCTTCGAAATCTATTATTACAAACATTCGCATCCATAATAGCTTGTGTGTATGGAGCTTTCCTTGACCGTCGAAGTTTTGCATTTGTGCTTTCCTGTACAATATTCCCACTAGTATGCAGAAGAAGCCTTCGTTCAATTTCTTGATCATTTTGATGAGAAATTTCGTGCCTTCTCATTTCATAGGAATATGCGGCACCACCTTTGGTTACTTTAAAGTGTACATTTTCTTCTCGTTGATTAAGATTGTTAACTTTGTTGTACGGTTTTAGAGAAAGTTGTTGAAGCAGTTCTATGGATTTCGACTGGTTAGAATCTAGCGATGGCGGGAGGATAATTTCCCGATTTCGAAAATTCTCGTTGATAGCATTAGGGTTAACTATATTGCGAGATTTATTTCCAAAAGATATATTTTGGGGAAATGATTCCGTATTTTGGATCGCAGGAAAAGAGCTATTATCGTCAGATATATTATCGTAGACTGGATTTGAATACTGATAAATTGTTGAAATTCCACGGCTTTCATCAAATCGTTGGCTTGTATTCTTGTTGTAGTTCTGCCCCATCGATCCAAGTGCAGCATTAGTATTTATGACAGTTACGCATCGATTTGGTCCTTTGGATAAGTGAGCCGTTGGTAACTGGCTTTGAAATGAATTACATTCATATAGATTTTGTTCTGGTTCGTGGTTATAAGAGTTGAAGTTATTCGCATGCACATTCACATTACTTTGATTTTCGTTATTGGAATCAAGATTCGGTGTATTATTATGTTGAAAAAAATGTTGTTGGGATGCAGGATAACTCACAGAGTTTTTCAATGCAGGCTGATTATGGTAAGCCTGTTGATTATACAACCTACCTGGAGCCATGGTTCCCAAGTTTCTATAATATTTTGAGTGCACTTGTCTTTTCGAATTAAAATTTTGCAATGCATTGGTATGGCCAGATTCTGACCCACCACTGATTTGTTTATTTTGAAATAAAGGAATCACATTTTCTGCCAAAATGCCATTATTATGAATTGGAGCTCTATAGTTGTAATTTAGAGGTTCTTTGCTGTTAAAACCTGTTCCATCATTGTTTTCTGGCAATGTGTCTGGAATGCCACAGCTTGTCGTTTGTTCAAAAGAATTGCACATACTGTTAGATGACGGATAATGCACCAACTGTTGCATGAAATGTTGACCTGAGTTACTGGCACCAACATTGCGAATGTTGTTTTGCGAAGTTACGCTACAACTCATTTCAGCGAAGCTTTTACTCTCTTCTTGCAGCTGCCCATGGGGCACAAGGGGTAAAAGTTTGCTTTTGAGAATGTCAAATATAGCGTCTGCGTGGTAATCACTTAATCCTAGAAACCTGTATGGATTTCCCTTGCTTTCAGGATCCATTGCAAGATTAAAAGTTGCGGACACAGATGTCGAATGGCTGTTTAAGATATCAAGTGGTTGACTTGCAATAAATTCAAAATTGACAGGCCAAATGTAAAAAAATTTCTGAATGCATTCAAGATGAAGATTGTTGTTATAGTCATTGTGTATTGCTGCCCATTCTGCTTGAGTTTGGGTGATTATAGTGCTAGCATAATTTTCAGTAATTGGAGCATATGTAAAACTAAAATTTTCTCCAACATACGAGTTAAAACTTCCAACGCTTTCTGTGTTACTTCTAGGAGGCCCGGACATTTCCCAGTAAAATATTTTGAAATTAGAATTTTCATCTGTCTCCTGCTTTATGTTTTGAATAGCATCTGAGTAGTTAGGACATAATTGTTGTTCGTTGTTTATATTATGATCTAAGTGGTTGATAGAACTTTCTGAACTCGATTTATAATTCGAAGTTTGTTGACAATAGTTAAAGGCTTGAATATTTTCAACAGATTTTGCTTGGCTTAGTGGATGACAAAGATAACTTTTTGAATTTTTTGTATTTGTAACTCGAAGGTAAGTTTTAACATCTTGTAAATCAATGCAGGCGAACTCAAACTTTGTCCTGGTATCAAATACTGTAGGGTCTGTAGAGGTAGCCAAAGTCCTTATAATTCTTCCAATAAATATTATGTCGTCGTCTGTAACTCCACTTGCATCAGCCAAATCTTTCACAGTGTCAACGGATGGTTCACTTGTACTATTGTAATTTGTTTGATCGAAATTATGTGAGTTATTGTAAGCAGCTTGATTATCAGTGTTAGGAGCTGAATAAGAATCATCTGAGTTTTGGATGGGTTCTACCATCGTTAAAACAGACCCAGATTTCATTTGAGTATAATTCCCAATTTCAGAGTCACTAGTTTGAATTACACTTGTTTTTACACTGCTTTGATAGAGAATTTTGATATCATCGAAATCATCATCATTTGAATTGACTTGCAGAGGTGTTTCTGAATTTTCGGGGAGCTCCGCAAAGTTTCGATAATTCGAAAAATTCTGAAACGTATTATTATTAGAGTGTTCATTCGGATGGTTCGATACAATAGAGGGCAAGCCAGTGTTGTTGTTATAAATGCCGGTACTTGTGCGATTCATAAGTAAACTCGAAGTTTCTTTTTCTGAGCTATAAGGAACTATTACGCCGTCTGCTTCGTAGAAAACTTGAGAATTATTGTCATTATGAGCACAGGCATTTGGAATAAAAAAATGTTTTTGTGGATCGCTTTTTAAATTATATGGATTATATGACTCACAATCTGATGCAATATTTAGAAACATATTCGAAACATTCGTCATGTGTGAATTGACAAAGGAAGGATCATTGTAATTCATGTTATTAGAGGTTATAGGGACGTTTGTATTCTCATGGAAAACTTCTGAATTTTCTTCTGTGTAAGCAATGTTATTTGAATACATATTATTATTTTCCAAGCAAAAGTTTATCTCTTTACCGTTTTCTCCAAGTAACTGTTGATTGGGATCTATGTATTGCATTGGAACATTTGGAGAGTCTGAAGCAAAGATGGCGGAAACAGAGTCATCTGATATCATTTCTATTTCAGCGTTTGTTTTAGATTCATTTTTATCGGATTCTAAAACTTCATCTTGACTCGGCTGACTAATATTTTCGATTCCTGGTGGAGTTGAGGTATTTAAACAAAAAGGAGTTATTTTATTAATTAAATTATGTTCGTTTTTGCTTTCAGTGTTATGTTGGGAATTTCTGCTACCTTCCGGATCATTACCAGAGGGTATTGAAGTCATAGCATTGTTATTAATACCTGTTGCTTCATTTATGTAAAAATCGTTCGAAAATAGATTTTTGTTTCTGCTATCAGATGTGTTATTCTTAAAATAATTCTCCATCTCGGAATGAGTTTGATCATTACCTTTCTGAGACACTTGTTTCTTATTTTCTTTTGTGACAGTTTTGTAATTTTTTTGATTCATCGGCATGAGACTCATATCATTTGAAACATTTATGGAATTGTTTCTTTCTGGAATTACATAAAGGTTATTCTCATTTGTTTCTGTGTTGAGATTACTATTATTGCTCTGACGAATTTCGTTTTGTGTTTGGGAGAAAAAATCTTGTTCAGTTTCTGTCCTCTTGTTTCTGATAACTTCTCTATGGTTCTTATTATTTGAATCAACCTGACTTATTGTTTGATTAAATGAGTTTGAGTCTATTTCAGGCTCTATAGCCGAGGCTGATGCAGGAGACGTGGTATTGAATAGGTTATGATTTCGAAGATCATCCTGATTTTCTAGTTCTCTGCCCTGAAGAGAAATATTTTTATCGTTCTCTTCACGGTTTTCTGACCTTGTTCGAAATTTATTTTTTGCTGCATTCTCTTCAGTTTGATAATTCTGTGCTTTGTCAATGGTCCAGCTTTGATTTTGAGCCCGATTGAACTTCCTCTTCAAGCTGATACTTTTTGGCCCAGTCACTGAACCATTTAATCGACCACGATCTGAGTTTCCGATGGACGAAGAAATATTATTTTTGTTAGAAGCATTTGATTGATTCTCTAGACTACTACAGATTCGTCGTTCACGTGGCTTATCATCGCTTCTTTTGGATAAACTTAAATCTGACATTGATGGATTTTCATGTGAAATTCGTTGCCAATAGTTACTATTCTTGTTTAATCCCGAGTCTGTTAATAAAGTCGTCGTTTGAAGCTGATTAGCTTCATGTGTCTCCATGTTATCCATTTCGACATCTTCTCGCGTTAATATCGGTGGATTGATATCAATAGTTTGAAAAGGAGTGGAATCTTCGGAGCTGACTTGATTGATTTCTGAATTTGTACCCACAAAAAAAGCAGGTGATTGATTGATGTCTAAGGTTGTACCCAAAAGAGATGGAGATGATTGATTGATGTTCGAGGTTGTATCCATAAAAGAGGTAGATGATTGCTGAATATTATTTTGAACTCCTGTAGAGCTACTAGGTTCTGGTACTGATTCATCCGCATCTGTGCTGATCGGGGACGTTTCAAGTACTTCTTCTTTTATTTCTATTCCGTGTGTCTGGTAGAAGAATGTGTTTTCGTAATCATTTTCTGATTGCTGTCTATCGCTCGAAGGCAAATCCTCAATGTTTTGTAAACTCATGTAATATGGATTGAGTGGCATATATTGTCTTCTTAAATTTTTCTTCCTTTGTTGAAACTGGAAATTATTCATTGTGATCTCAATTTTGTCAAAGTTCAGGCTTTCTTGTTTCGAGCAAGGTTTATTTTATGCAGTATCCTTTCATTGCTCCTTTCTTCTTTTATAGATTTATCTAATAAAAGATTAAAATAAATGCATTAAGATTTATAACGAGAATAACAATGATCTAAAATAGTTCCCAGAAAATATGAAGCTTAAATATAAGAAACTGAGTTCATTTTGATGTGATTTGGATTCATAGAGAACATTCATACAATGCTAGAAATTTTGGATCATGTTGAACCTTAATAAAGTTCACATTGCTGGATTGCTAACGGATGATTAAATCACAAAAGTGTTGCTTACTTTTATTGTATGGAACAAATTCTGTTCTCTATAATAGAGGTTAACTTGAATAAGGGGCCAAGTTACAAGAGTGGTCAATTTGATAGATTTCATTGTACTTTTAAAACCATTGCACATAATACAATGAGCTATTCACAAAACTAAAGAAAAATATACCTTTTTTAAAAAAAAAGAAATACAAATGTTCGATCTTCGACTTTTTTATTACAGGATGAAAAGTTATGTTCCTCACAATTCACTGTTAATGACCCCTAATGCTGCATAAATGTATATAAATTTATTCTGTGTGTTTTCGACATCAGTGGCTATAAGTAGTGTCTTGGACAGGTGAGCAATGGTAATTTATTTCCAACCCCATGGCCACCAAAATCCCTGCACTTAACACCATGTGATTTTCTTAAAGGGTTACGTCAAAGGCACAGTTAATGAACCACCGATGTCGAAAACAAGGTATCAATTTCAAGGAATCGGTGATCATAAACAGTGTCTTGGGTGTGTGTGAGGTACTTCAAATCACATGACTATCAAGATCCCCGGTCCTTACGCCATGTGATTTCCTTTATGCTGTTACGTCAAAGGCCGTATTTATTAATCATCGATGTCGAAAATTCAAAAAAACTAACTTCATGGCATCGGTGACTATAAACAGTGTCTTAGGTGTGTGGGTAATGGTATTTACCCCACATCACATGACCACCAAGATCCTCGGACTTTACACCATGTGATTTATTTCGTTGTATAGTGTTAACTCAAAAGCACTATTAAATGGGTCGCATTCATTTCANTGAAATGGCCTGTCGATGAAGTGATTGTCGATGAAATGAACCAGACCCCTATTAAATAAGCAACACTGAAAAAATTTAAATTTCAAAAACGCATTTCAACAGAGTTAAGTACTATTATGAAACTATAAAATACGTGAAGCAAACTTGATTTCAGATTAAACATTTGTCTTGTAACAAAATAATCATAAACCGAACATTTGTAACTGAAAATAAAAACAAACAACAAAATACTTGGTATACTTTTCTTTAATATCGGGTATCGCTTATTGTCATACGTATAATAGTTTTGAAAGTATAAATATTTAAAATCCGGTCATTTATTTTCTCTAAATCTGTATTTGTTCTAGCAAAGAAGAATTTTTAAAGTTTTTCTTTTGTAGAAAAATGATTATTTGAGTGAAAGTGAGGATTAATGCTCAATTACTTTTTGAAAGCATGTGGGTTCTATCCAATTTTGGGTTCCTAGGATTCCTTTGAGATTATATAATTTAAAGTATGAAATAGTCATAAATATTGTGTAATAAGCATATTGTATCAAGTAATACATCCTAAAAGATCAGCTGAATTCGGATTAGTTCTAAAATAATATTCTTTTAAAACTGAAATATACTTTAATATTTATTAGAAAAAAAAATATACTGATGATTGAAAGGAATAGGAAGTTTTAATCTTTTAAGTACAGAAATATCTTAATGCGTGCGGATATAGCTAATCCTATCAGTATTTAATTTTGTTAGAATTTGGAGTGGATTCAGAATGGAAAAGCTCTTTATTCAACCGTAAAGATTGATCCTTGTGGTTCTCTTATTGCACATAATATATCTACGTTGCTTTTAAAGATTAACTGAACTAGTTAAATTGCTAGTTGGAAGGCAAAGGAAAGATTTAAAAAACATAACTTTTCCTGATGAGTTTTGTTGGAGCTATTTGCATCCACGAACAAGCGTATCTAACTTTTGAAAATGTGTTAGATTTAATAACTTTTAGTGATTTCTCGGATTTAAAGTTATGACTGTTACTTCAAGATGTTATATAGACGTGAATGAGTAGTCAAATGAATTACATTCCTGTTTGAATATACAGCAGGAAAAAATGGATACTGCTATGTACTGCTTTTAATGATTGAATTACAGTGTTATTAATTTGGTGATGAATTACATTCCTGTTTGAATGTACAACAGGAAAAAATGGATAATGCCACGTGCCGCTTTTAAGGATTGAATTACAGTGTTATTAATTAAGTGATAAATCACATTCCTGTTTGAAATTACAATAGGAAAAAATGGATAGTGTAATGTGCTGCTTTTATAGATTGAATTACAGTGTTATTAATTTAGTGATGAATTACATTCCTGTTTGAATATACAACAGGAAAAAATGGATAATGCTATGTGCTGCTTTTAAAGATTGAATTACAGTGTTATTAATTTAGTGATAAATCGCATTCCTGTTTGAATATACAATAGGAAGCAATGGATAGTGCAATGTGCTGCTTTTAAAGATTGAATTACAGTGTTATTAATTTAGTGATGAATTACATTCCTATTTGAATAGACAACAGGAAGAAATGGATAGTGCTATGTGCGGCCTTTAAAGATTGAATTACAGTGTTATTAATTTAGGGATAAATCCTATTCCTGAATAAACAAAAGAAAAAAAAATTGGATAGTGCTATGTGCTGCTTTTAAAGATTGAATTACAGTGTCATTAATTTAGGGATAAATCGCATTCCTGTTTGAATTTACAGCAGGAAAAAATGGATAGTGCTATGTGTCCATTTTTACCGCAAATATTATACCGTAATTTTTTCAGTAATTTTCATTTAATATGAGTGTGATTCAGTGATTTTACGGTAATTATTACTTTAAAAATTACGGTATATCTGAGTTTTTGTTCCCTATCATGTTCCGGTAAAAACGGATTTTACAGTAAAAAGTACCGATATCCTGAAGATCGGTACTTTTTACCCTAATTTGATCCGGAATTTTTCACAGTGTAGTCTAAAATTTAACCATTCATTGAGAATAATAAAAAACTCTTACCATTTAATTTTTTTTAGTTTGTCGGGAGAAATTTCTGATTCCACACAAATAAGTCAAACATGTCTATAAAATTAAATGAAAAATTCGCTTTCAGTTAGAAATAAGAAATAAAACTGTAACTAAAATAAAAATATCATAACTATATTTTACAAGTTTTAAAAAATTAAGTGTTATACACTGGTTTTTTTTTTACATGAATTCTTTCCTTCGTTTCACAGGAATTGTTATTTTGCTGATTGCAGATGGATGATGCTCAGAATCCTGCGCATTGTTACTTTTGTGGGATTGTTTTGGCAGAAGAATGATTCATGAATTAATAGTTTTAATGCTCAATGGTATATGTCAGTGATGTTGAACTTTTATACCCAGAATCACACTCTAATTTAGGAGACAACTATTATGGCCTTCACCAATCATTTAAAGATCAAAATTTAGATTTATTATTTTAAAAATTATTTAGCAATATACTCATATTATATATTTTTTTAATTTCAAAATATGCATTGTTAAATTGAATATTTCAACTCATAATTATGAGGTATAAATTTATGGTATTCATAAATTTTTAATGTTTCTAAATTTACGTTATTTAGTAACTAACTTTTCAATTTCAAGATTCTTCATATTTCAAGACTAATTGTGTTTGTAAACTGTTAATATTTCTAGACATTTTTTTATTGTAAGCTTTGAATATTTCAAGACTTGTTGTACTTGTAAAGTCTAAATGTTTTTAACTGCATGATAATCAAAATTTTGATTTATTATTTTAAAAAATAATTTAAGAATAAACTCCTATTAGGAATTTGTTTTGCCAAAAATATGTTTTGTTTAACTGAATATTTCTAAAAACTTTTTAATTTGTAAATTTTCAATAGTTCAAAACTTGTGGTATTTGTAAAGTCTAAATATTTCTCATTATTTATAATTTTTTTGAAAACCTTTGTTTTTTAAGCCTTTTTTAGTTAAAAACTTAAGGTTTCATATTTTTTTTAAAACTTATTTCTGTAAACAGATAATATTAAATAACTAATGTTATTTGTAAGCTGCTATTATTTATATATTTTTTGCATGTGAAGTATGTTTCGCATGTGTTTCTTGCATGAGTATATTTTGCCTGTGTATGCTTTTTTTGTTTTGCTTGTTTACAAGTTCCTTTTTTGCAACTTTAGAACTTGTAACCAAGTAAAGTTTAAATATTTTTTAAATTATGGTATTATAATTTATTAATTTACTTCATACTGCTTGTAAAATGTTAATATCTAAAAGTTTATGGTATTAGTAAACTTTTAATATTTATAAACTAATTTAATATGTGAACTCCGTTTTTAAATTTATAACATTCGAAAGTGCTTAATCTTTTGAAATTTGTGACATTCGTAAACATCCAAGTTTTAAAAACATAAAGTATTAATATTTTTATGCTTGTATTTGTACACTGTCAATATTTAAACAATTATGGCATTTGCAAACTTTTAAAATTAATTCATTTTAAATTTAGTTAATTTGCAAACTTTAGGTATATGCAAATTCTTAATTTTTTTTAAAATAATTTTTTTGCATTTATAAATTTTGAATTTGTCTGAATTGAATTTAAACTTACGTTAAAGTATTCATAAATTCATATTATTTAAAAACTTTAGACATTTGTTGGCTTTGCATGTGTATTTATAACGGTATGACTTAATATTTATGACTGTATGCCTTACTATAACTTTTAATAATAATAAATTTATGTTAATTGTAAACTGCTAATTTTTCCAATATTTTTTTCTTGTATTTGTAAAGTCTAATTTTTCTAAGCTTTTACCATTTGTAAACTGATAATTTTTCTAAGAATTTTGCATTTGAAAAAGCTAAATATTTTTAACTCATAGTTTACGTAAATTCATATTTTCAAAAAATTTAACATACAGAGTTTATTAAGAAATCATAAGTTAATAATAGAATTTTATGTTTACGAACTAATGGTGTTTGTAAACATTGAACATATCTAAACTCATGGAATTTGTAGTGTCTTTATATTGATAAGCATACGGAGTTTGTAAGCTGGTAACATTTATAAATTTATGATGTTTGTAAACTCTGAATATTTCTTAAGTTTTTAATATTTTTAATAAGTTATTGTTAGAATCATTTTATTAAAAGATTGAGTTGTAGTGAGGTCTAAGAATTTTGTTTGAGACATAAAATGTGGTTGCTATTTAAAAATAAATTAAAGAATATTTAAAGTTAGCTGTTACTTTTTATTAACACTATCATGCACAAGCACAATTTTTAGTTCAAGAAAAAATTACTGACGATAATCATAGAAATGGTATCAATGTAATAACTATCGATTTAGAACAAATTTTTATAAATATTGTGATATTAAATGTTCGACAATTTTAGTGAAATTTATATGTTCTATCTTTTCTATTTATTAATTAATTGAAAATCACTAGAAATAATAAATGAATTGGCATAAGTTATGATGAATTGGAGTCATCAAAAGTTGATGGATTATGAATTTTCTGAATCATTAATAGAAATGATGGATTTATTAATACATTTTTAAGTTAGGAACTTTTCCTTAGGCCAATTTTCCTCAGATTTAACTAACTATAATTTTGACGATTAAACTTATAAATGAGTAGCACGTAGTTTATCAGAAATACACAAAAAATGTCATAAGTGCGATATATATTTAAATTTTTCCTTAAGTTGCTTTAAAAGTTGTTCAATGCATTTTTAAAAACAAAGAAAGTACTTTTTAATAATATTTTAAAGACGATGTTTAAAGAAAAAAAATTACTCGACACAAGTACATAATATTTAAAGAATTTCGAAAATATATAAAGTAAAATTAATATTATTTTTTTTAAAACTAAAACTCTATATACATAAATTTCTCAATTAGTTTTATATTTTAAAAGGACATATTTTCCCCCCATTCGATTTACCAGTAAAAAAAGCAACTGCTCAAATCAAATAAATGTTAGAAAAAAAAATGCTTTTTAACAATTAATTAAAAACATATATTTTAATTAATTGTTATTATAATGTATTGTTTTTATAATGTATTGTTATTATAATGTATTGTTTTTATAAATAATTGTTATTATAATAAATTATAGTTAATTGTTATTAAAATTAATTGCAATTTTAGTTAATTGTTATTTTAATTAATCATTATGCTTAAAAGAGTTTTGTTTTAGTGTTATTAATTTATTTGCATTACAATTAATATTTTCGCATACAGTTTCAAACCATAATTTATGTGTACAACTTACTGAAATGTTATCTAGCTTCAGCTTAATGTGCATTGTAGTTGTGTTCAAATTAATAGTATAGTTATATAAAATTATAATAACAATTAATACAAATTTTTTAAAATTGTATTTCAACTATCGATGTTGTTTTGTATTAAACTTTAAATTTATCTATGTAAGAAATTGTTTTAAAAGATTAAGTGAGTCAGGGAAATGAAATTTCTATTACTGAAATTATAATCAAAGTCAGTTAAAGTTATTAACTAATCATAAATCAAAAAAATTATTTACGTAAAATAATTGTTAAAATTTTATATTTCAGAAATAAGTCTCAATGTTTCCAAATACAATAAGTTTATAATATAGTTTATTGGAAAGACTTCTAGATGGTCTCCTTAATGCCGTGTGTTTTAAGTCAATGTGATGCCACATATGTTTTATATTTATACAAATAATATAATGGATTGGAAATTATAATCAAAATCAGTTAATATTATTAACTAATCATAAAACAAAAAATTTATTAACGTAAAATAATTGTTAAAATTTTATACTTTAAAAATAAGTCTCAACGTTTCCAAATACAAGAAGTTTATAATATAGTTTATTGGAAAGATTTCCAGATGGTCTCCTTAATGCCGTGTGTTTTAAGTCAATGTTATGCCACATATGTTTCATATTTATACGAATAATATAATGGATTGGAAATTATAATCAAAATCAGCTAATATTATTAACTAATCATAAAGCAAAAAATTTATTTAAGTAAAATAATTGTTAAAATTTTATACTTTAAAAATAAGTCTCAATGTTTCCAAATACAATAAGTTTGTAATATAGTTTATTGGAAAGACTTCTAGATGGTCTCCATAATGCCGTGCGTTTTAAGTCAGTGTTATGCCACATATGTTTCATATTTATACAATTTCAATAGCTGGAACTAAAGCAAGGTTTTTAAACGACATGTGCTTGAAACCTTTTTTTTCATTTTTTTTCAAAGTTTGAATAACAAAATAATCAGATAACAAATTAAAACTTTTTGAAACTCTTCTGTAGGCAAACGTTTGCATTTAACTAAATATTATCATTTTGCTTTATTATATTTTTAAAAATTTCATTTGTTATGCTATATTTACTGTTAAATATAAAAATAATAAAAAAAGGAAGAAAAAGACACTATTCATGTGCTCATATATATCTTTTTAAAATTTTTTTTAGTACTTCAAAAAATGGAACACAATTTGAAGAACTAATAGTAACTTATCATTACGCAAGACATTTGAATTCAATTTCAAGGAAATAACATTCGATGCGTCAACACCAGATGTTGCCATTATTTCACAATAAATTTAATACTTTCCAGGAATTCGTAAAAATATCTTCGTAGAAGCAAAAACATATAGCGCATAAATAATTTGAATAGCGTATTTATGATCTCTTTTAGGTATTTATTGTTTTATATTGCTAAAAGAGGCATTATGTCTGTTTATTTTCAATCAATATTTCTGGCAGTAATGCACTCATAAATTACGTGTCTAAAAATTATCATAAAAAAAATTAAAACTTCGGCTAAGCATATTATGTGTATTTATTTATATATGAGGAAAGTTCATTAGTCTGTAAAAGGTTTTTTTTGTGATTGTAATGCCGCGAGCAATTGAAATGATGAAATATTTAAAAAAATATACTTTAAAAAACATGCTTTTAATATACGAGTTTACTTATCTTTATATATTTTATTAATAGTTTCTTAAAAGTTATGAATTGTGTGCCTGGCAAAAATGTGAAAAAGTAATGTATGGAAAATACTGTAAAGGGCACTAATGTATGGAGTCTATGCACTGTTAAAACATTTGGGTCACGGTGAACCATTTTATGGTCTAAATTTGCTTAATATGATGCTAAGTTGAACCATATTATAATACTTCTTAAATGCGATAATAGAATAATATGGTTCCACTTGAACCGAAACACTGTTCAATTTAACACCTTATTATTGTGCCTTAACTCACACCTTATTACTAACAGCGTATTGTGCCTTAACTCACACCTTATTATTATGGTATTACATTAAACCATTTCTTCAGAGAACGTATAACTTAAAAGCTAAACTGCACGTAATAAAATAAAGTCACACGATATGTTTGATCTTAATAGATTGATATTGTTTTATATGTTTCAATTGTTACATATATTTTACGATTTGTTTTCTTGCAAGTATATCTTATCGAAAATTTAGCATATTTTATGTATTTTAGGTACGATGATTATGGTTTGATCTTGTACTCTTTTTTTTCTGAGAATGTTTAAGTTAAAAATTAATTCAAAACACTAATTTATATATTTTTTTTATCAAGTCCAATGATAATTTTAATCTAAAAAAAACAAAAACAAAACAGAAAATTAATATTCGTTGATTGTATGAAACTTGGTTACAGCTGTAACAAATACGTCATTATTTATATTATTTGCAAATATATTTTATAGAAAAATTTGACGAATATATTTTTTGCATTTTAGGTATCGAGTACTATGGTTTGACGCTGAACCATTTTTTCTCTGTGTAATTTCCGTCATTGTAAATAATAGGAAACTAATAAAGAGGTAAATTGATATTGATAAAGATGTAGTTTATATTGCTCAATTGCCTTGTACGGTTTAATTAATCAAGCAAAATTTATTGGATCATAATTATTAAATTTTTTATTAAATGTTATTATATTACAAACATTTTAACTAAACATTAAAAAAATTACATTTAGTTACCCAATTTTAATTTTGTAGTGCTAAAACAAGCGTAAATTGAGTCACTGAGACTAAATAAACATTAATAAATTCGTAACCCTATGTTTTTCACCATAATCACTGAGATAAGATCTAGACGGATTAGGCAAACTCATTTTTAAAACTAATATTAAATTTCTTTCTGCCTAAGCAAAAATGAAAGATAAGCTTTTATTTAAAATTAGATTTAGATTTTTTCGTGGAATTTTCTTGTTTGATTCATTACTAATCATGTTGTGGCAATTCGTAATCTCTTTGATTTATTTCATAGACAAAACTCCATTTTCACAGCAGCCCGTTGGGCAAAGCCCCAGCATACCGTTAGAGATAAGATATCATGGACCACAATCATCACAAGATGAGGGTAATTTTTTCATAATTGTAACTAATTATTTATTAAAAAATACGAGTAATTTGGAATTATTAAAATTTATTTTTGGCGATTTTGAATTGTTTTATTATTTTATACGTACCAAAAATCCACACAGAATGGATAAAATTTCTAAGAAAATTAATGAAAAAATTATGTGAGGACTTGTTTATATAACCATAACTTCAATATTTCAATTCAATATTTTTCAAAACATATAGGAACCAAATTTCAAAAAATTCTGGTAAAACTACTGTACTGCATGGTAATGACACTTCTGGTGAAATCCCATAGTTCTAATAATAAAAATCAAAATATACGATATTTAAACAATTCATTTGGTAACGTTTTTATTCATATGGTAATTTTTTCATTCATGTTCACCGGAAATTTCGGTTTTCAAAATGATAGGCTTTATTACCACCCAATTAGTGGAAATTACAAAACTGAAAGGTAAATTTAATTGAATAAATAGTTTTTATGCATAACTGTAAATGCATAAACAGAGATGCAAAATATCAGATTTAGATATATTAACTCTATAGGATAAATAATAACAGTAAATTACTGGTAATAATACGGTATTTAAATAATTTATTTGGTAACGATTTCCGTTCATGTGGTAACGGTTTAATCGAAACTCTTTTTTTTCAGAATTATAGTTCTTATTACCAGTCATTTAGTAAATAAAGTATAGAACTTGAAATTTCGGGGGGTAAAAAAAAACTGGGAGAAGAATGGAGTAATTTTTTTTTTCCTCTGGCAATTCGTTGGTGACTTAGTAAGTATTAAACTTGAAGTAAAATTAACCACGCAAGCCGTACTACGCACCACAAAAATTCAACTACAAAATAGAAATTGGATGGGCTAAAAAAGTAAGAACTTAACAAGAGTTCTTGATTGTTTGAAAGTAATTACGATTCTAAGTGCTTTCTACCGAGATTTTTTTCCCTTCTTTTCATTTTAACTAATGGCCATTAATCCATTGTTGTATTGTTGTGAGAATCTTCCTTGCACTCGAGATCTTTATTTTATAAGCCCCCGCTGGAGATCAGATTGAAAATAGAGAGAGTGATTAGATGTTGCCAGATAAATATCTTAACATTTATATTGAAAATTTTAAAAATACAAAAAACTTTATTCAAAAGTGGTGAAAATCATTTTCAATATGAACTATTACAATGATACAAGTTGCGCAACGATTACTTCTTCGCATTAAATCTTATTATCGTATCACGCATTTTTTAGTTTTAATTTTATTTTCAAGTGCAGTTGAATAATTTTAAAACCCAGTTAGTTGTTCATTTGTTATGGCTATTAACAAAGTGCTGTCACATAAAATCGTTCATAATAAACACGTTAAAAAATGAAGAATCACGAAAATAATGGAATAATATTAAAAATGAGAGTTTTATTTCTGAAACTGTAGAGGTTTGAGAAAGAGAAAGGGCGTAAAATAAATTTGCGTTCCAACTTTGAGGTATGACTTAATCTAAGATGTGTGACCGAATCATCTTGACTTTAAAATTTCAGGAATTGGCTAGTTTTAGTGTTTTAATAATTTAAATAAGTAAAAAAAAATATTACGTGTACTTACGTTGCAGAATTTTGAATGTTTTGCCAATCCCGAGAAAAGATCAGAGTTAACTAATATTTATGTTTGTCTGTTAGAAATTTATAAAAACAGTAAAAATGTCGTAATTTGTTCATTGTAAATGCATGACTTAATATTTGCTTTTGGTGAAGCAAAAATTGAATTCTCTTAATTAATATAGCTTTTGAAATTTTAGCAATTTCATTTTAATTGATTAAAAATAAATAAAAGGAAAAATTTGGAAACAATAGTTTCTTCACATCCTTTATTAACAGCATACACCCTTTAGTGCTATTAAATTTTTTTTGTATTAATTTGCATTGACTTTAAAAAACGTTTTCTAACTTCATTATAGATTGAATGCAGTTGAAGGAGGAAGCAGCATTAATTAGCACAATTGCAAATGCATTCATTTGAAGCTGTGCTAATTAATAAGTTGTGCCAATTAATACTTAAAATTATATGCAATAAGCTTAAGTGATAATCATTGCTTTTTTATAGCATAAATTTAGTTATTAAGTCACCATAAATTATTTAATGTTCATAAATTATCTAAAAATTTTTAGTTTAGCCCAATTTTTCTTTTCGTCGCAATGTTCTTTAAATACATGTGCCAAAAATTTGAATTCTTCGATGGAATTAACATTGGCATAAAAAAGTAGCCATTTGACAAATGGAATTTTGAACTAAAATTACTAAACTTTACAATTTCATTAATGCGAGTATTTATTTATATATAAATATTTCATTTATGTACATAAAAGAATAATTTGCAAAATAGCATTAAAATTTAAAAAGAACTATAAAATTCCTATGTTTACATAGTTATTTATTAAAACTGACAACTAATGTTATTTAGGGATGTAAATGAATGATTTACAAAAAAGCGTTAAAATTTAATAGGAATAATAAATATATATTTATAAATACTTTAAATATTTAAAAATGTATTAAAGTAGGAGAAATTAAATTTACATAAAGATCCATTTTTAATCAGAAGGGAGATGAATAGTTCGACTTTTGTATTCGATACAAAATTTTTCTTTTTATTTGAAATGTTTTTATTATTTTTTTTAATTTTTCACTATATCTAAAGTTCAAGATTTATTTATTTTCTTTACTTATTTTCTTTATTAAAATGCCAAACTAAAAGTAGTTTTTAGGCATATTTGTAATTTAATTTAAGAATTATTAGAAATGCTTTATTATCCTCCTGAAATGTTATAATACTAAAAAAAAAATTACATATTAAAGCATTCGTCCACTAGAAAATCCAAGTTTTACATACTAAATTCTGATATGTAAAAAAAAAATTGGCAAAAAAAACAGCGCAAAGTAAAATATTCTAAGATAATGTTGAATTGTTATCAAAAGGTTTAGGAGAAAAAAAATAACAAGAGGCTTTATTAATCATTTTTGTGAAAGCCTAGAAATAGAAGGAAAAAGCTAACTATTTAAATAAAATTTGAGCATTTTTAATAAAAAATTTCACGATAAACATCGTTATTGGTTTTAAGATTTTATTACTTTTTTCATTTTATTTTTCTCTAAACAATGTTCCGCAGTGCAAGCAGATCCTGATGCATGGGCGGATCGTGAATTTGTGGGGCCCTGGGCTGAAACTACTTTGGGGCCCTAATAGCCATTTTGTCAAAAAACTGTTTTCTATAGTGATGTAGATAAGTATATAGAAAAAAATAGGACAATAAAATAATTTTATTTATTTTTATTTGTCTATACAAACAGCAACTGTACAACATTATTGCAAAAGAAATTGACAGGTTATGTGTAGTTATGTTATATACATTATAAAGCAACCTTTCTGCATTTTTGTGCTGCAAATTTCTTTATTTGCTCATCACATTGTAAGTCCTTCGTTAAATCACAATTTATGGAAAGAACTGATAAATGATTTAGTCGATGGTTCGACATTGTTGTCCTATATTTGTTTTCTATATATGACATCCTGGAGAAAGAGCGTTCAGCTTCACAGCTAGTGATTGGCAAAGTTAAAAAAATCCTTAAGATAGTGTAGCAATTTGGGAAAACGTCAACAAATTTCTTTTCATAAATTAGCATAAAAATTTGACTGCAAGAGGTGTAAGACTCTAGCTTAGA